GGGGTGTAAATTTGGCCCGGCCCATGTCGGGCCTCAAAGCTCCCGCCAAAATTCGGGTCCGATTCGGTTGGGTCACGGGCCAAAAAAATTAGGCCCATGCCCAGGGGTATTCGGGCCTTGAGTGGGCCGGTGGGCCTGGCATCGGGCTTGGGTGGGCCTGACTATTTTTTTTACCAAAATTTTAATATTTTCCACTTAAAAGGACACTGGGCCTTGGGGCGGGCCCGGCCTTGAGTGGGCCTTAAGCGAGCCAACGGGTTGGGCCACGAGCCGAACTAGGCTTCAAAATGATGGCCCAAGCCCAGGCCCAGGCCCAAGCCTGGGGACTCGAGCTCGGGCTGGGCTCAGGCTTGGGCCCAAACGGGCCTAAACAGGTCCGGCCCACTCCAGGTCACGAGCAGGCTTTGGGCCACCCATGAGCCGTGGGTCATTTTTGCACTCTTACAAAAACGAATGTACATTGTGTTGTTTCTAAACAAACACAAATGGTAATTTACATTTTCATCAAAGAAGATGGTTTAAAAAAACAAAAAAGGAAAACCCTTCGTGGTCGTCCAATGTTCAAAAAAATAAGAAATCCCTCATATATCTTAAGGATAGACAGTTTAAACAGAAAATCTTTGGATGCAAAACAGTGGAAAGGAAAATGAATTACAAAAATCTTCCTTAAAATCCTTCGGCAAAAAAAAAACTTTGAGTGGTCGTCCAATGTCCCAAATTTCATTTCCGAGTTAGAACAAAAATAAAATATTGCATTAAAAACAACCATTTTCCACAACCAAAGAGCATTTAAAAAAAATTTCAAGGATATTAATTTTTCACTCAAATACCTCTGAGAACATGGTTAAAAGTACCAAAAGAAGGCCAATACAATAAATAAATAAATTGAAAATATGGTTCATCAGTTCATCGTGAAAATATTTTTGGTTGTTATCTAGGTTTTTTTTACCCTACACGGTGAGACTATAGGTTTATGGATGACTAAGAGAAAGAGCCCCGATTTAGGGGCTTTGATATGAAAACCAAAATGTGAAGGAGTGTGTTTCGAAAACCAAAAAAATCATGTGTGCTCCAAATCACCCATTTTTAAAGAGCGTAACTGGAATTAAGGGTTAGAGTTGTTACCTTTGTCGAAAGTGGGAAGAAGAGATAGAGAGATGAAGATTTGAATGATCCTTTTGCTTATGCTGCAAGTTTCGGTAGGAGAAGTACAGCTAGGAGCCGATCTGCTATTCGGAGGAGTTCCTGTCGGCGACGATGTGTGTTGTACGATGTCGGCTTCCATCGTTCTCTCGCCGGTGTGAAAGCTTCCATCGTCCTCTCACCGGTGTGAAAGCTCACAGATTAGGAAAGTGTCTCAGACAGGTGTTGTGCAAGTTTGGAATCTCAATGTGTGTGAGTGATTTTCTGATCACACTGCCCAACTCAGTATTCAGTTGGAGAACACTGGCAGAATAGATGACACCTGGCTAACCTGAAGTAGAAAGAGAAGATTCCGGCGGTGGTTCGTCCACCCGGGGGCACTCCGATGATCAAGTCAGTATATCTCTCAAAGATAATCAATAGTGTTAAACTCATTATTCAGAATATAAATTGCGTATCTTAGACCCATCGGGGGTGCCTTTCTTTTATAGTTATCTCAATCCTTGTCCCAGCAGGAAGCCTAGCTTCAATGGACTTAGGATTACTGTTAATCTTGGACTCCCAGTAGGATAGGGATAAACTCTCTAAGAGCCTTATCTTTATCCAAACTTGAGTCTTCTTCTATGCTAGGACTCTTGTCCCCTATCCGCTTATCCCGGACTCCGATATCTTCGGAGATAACCTCGACCTAGCCGAGATCATCTCGGCGTCTCAGTCAAGACACGTGGCACCTCGGCTGAAACGTCGGCATCACCTTGCCACGTGTTGATATCTTGAAAATATATCCCCACACAATGTATACATACAATTATTGAAACATGTGTCCAAAACGGGCCAAATAGGGGTATTTCCATAATTTCCACAACTAGGGCTTCTTAAGTACACTACCAAAAAATATGATATATTTTTTTGCTTTTTTAGTAATTTTTTTTGACTTTTTGTACAACTTTTGAGTATGCCAAACAAAGCCTAATTTGAATTTAAGTAGTAGAAATAGTGGATTCTACCATTTCTGTGTCATTTTTTAGAAGACAACAAGATAAGTGTCATATCTTGAGGTGTGGAATAATACTATAGGATCACCAACTAATTTTTTATTGATTCACTGATTATCACATTTTTATATTGTATTAGGGTTGTTTGGTGGAATTTATCAAAGTTGTTCAAATGTTTTTTTTAATCTTATTTCACTATAACAAAAACTGGCTATAACCACGTTTTTTAGACAACGTTTTTCTGAAAAACGCTGTGGAAGAGGCGAAGTAAGATTAAAAGACGCGCGTTATCCTCTTATGAACACATGTTCCACAACGTTATCCTCAATTTTTCTTTCCGTCTGTCGTTTTCTCTCTCCATTTGTCTCTATCGTTTTCTCTCTCTTTCCAAGATCTAGGGTTTTCTCTGCCTCCTCATGCTCCTCGAGAGATTCACCTGGGTTGATTCCGATTACTTGTTCAGATCTAACTCTAAATCCATCGATTCTTGCATTGATTTGGTTGAAATTTCTTGACGATTTTTTGTTTTTCTTGATTCTGATTCTGATTGTGATGATTTTGCAGAGGAAGATGGTTAGGTTGATTTGCACAAATCGGCAGGGTTACGAGACCGAGGAGGGAAGAAGGATCAAGATCCTCGGGAGAGTCCTTTTTGCCTCTGTTTTCATTCTCTGTGCATGGCAAGAGTAAGCTTTTTTTTTTTTGCTTTTCTTCTTCTTTGCTCTGTTTTATTAGATCTGCTATGTTCTAACTGTTCTCTTGTCATGTATGAGTGATTCGTTTGATGTTCTTCATTGATATGGACTTACTGGTGAGAAGATGTTAGGATTTTGTTGCTGCTTTTTGTGAATTTTTTGGTTGTAGTGCTTGTGGCCTTGGATCTGAAAAGTTTGAGATTTGCTTTGATAGAACATTTGATAAAATATTTGGGGTCCCTAGCATTTTTCTTTGATAAATGGCCTCAGGATGCCAATAGAGGGTTCCTGCACATTAATTATTATTTCAGCTTGTCTTTCATATGTTGTACATTTATCATCCCATCTCTTTAATGATTTGTAAAGCTCTGGGAAATCTTCAGCGTTGGAGAGTGTTGTTGGAAAGGACTTTTTCCCTTGGGGATCTGGTAATAATGCTTCCACATTTTTTCTAATGTTACAACATGGTTGTAGTGTATATAATTTAAGATTTTCATTAACTTATAAAATCCTTTGAACTCTAGAAATAATTTGAAACTGTTATATGTAGGAATTGTTACCAGACGTCCTCTTATCCTACAACTTCATAGGATTGATGAAGGAAGAGAAATAATTTAAAATTCAAGTTTATTTTATTTTAGTTTATTTATTTATTTTTTTTGGTTTCAAAGGAATTGGAAGTGATTGAAGTTTTTTTAATTGGAATGGTGTTGGGTTCATCATTTATGTGAAATATAAGAATAATATGCTCTGGGTTCATCACTGATGCCACTCCGATTGTTAAGGACAAACCTTGATACTTTAATTCTGAATAATTTGAGTGTTATCTTTCTCTTTAATCTCCAGATGGGAGTTCTTCTTAGTGGGGAGAATTGATGAAGATCGATAAGGCAGCAATAATTGGGAGTTTGAGTTATTTAGGAGTTTAAATCTGTTCATGAGTTATTTTGAGTATATCTATTTATTTTTATTTGTTGGCCTTATATATACATAGTGTTGGAGTATGAATTTTTCGACTCGAAATTCGATTTTCTAAGTTGAATTTTCTCGAGAAAGTTATAGCCTCTGCGAGATTTGATCAACGATGAAACATAATATTGTTGAGTGAAATTAGGTTAATTGTTTGATTGAGCAAAGAGAAAAAGCAGAGAGATGAGAAGCACGAACAACAATGCTCTAGACACGATAAGCGCTGCTGCGACTGCCATCGCGTTAGTTGGGACTCAAGCTTCGGTTTAGGTAAACAATTTGATTAGAATTTGAACTATAATTTACGTTGCTTGTTGTGGTTGATGATTTCATTATCTCAATTAGATACATGAATCTCTGGAGTTTAGATTTCTAATTCTAAGCTCTGTATAATCTGAATATCTAGGTTCAAGATTTGTTGATTATGTATGTTATGTTGATCATTTCACTTTGTTTCGTGTAGTTTTTGGAAATTATATTATATTTGTTTGATGTAGTTTTTGGAAATTAGTTTTGGAGCAGAAGCTGGTATGTCTTTTTATTTCATAGATTTTTAAGTTTGCAATTCTCTCTAGAAAATGTTTTTCACGTATTAAAATTAGCAATTGCACCTTGCACCAAAAACCTGATCAGTTTTTTCCTTCACCCTGGCCTCTTTCAGTAGTTAGCGACAAAAAAGAATGCACAAGGATTGTTGGTGAAAATTTCAGATTAGGGCGAAAGCTAGAGTTTGAAGGATGTGTTAGAATCAGAGCAATTTTAACCTTCACATACATGTGGAATGAAATCAAGATAAGTGGTATAAGAAAATATTACAAAGAAGATTGGACAACTACACTAGGCCAGTAAGATACATAAAAGTCAAAAACAAATGGATAAGCTTCGATAGGATTGTTTACTGAAGTAGCTTACTCTGATAACAAAGAACTCCACTGATCCAAAATAGAAGTGACCCTTATAGTGATGTTTGTTGGACCTAATTTTGTCAGTTTATTACTACTCATCATCTGTAACTTCCTTGTTCTTTTATTTATCATTGTATCTCAAATTAGCTCAAAAGTCTGACACTAATGCCATAGGTGTCAACTTAGGCTTTCCCTCTTTAAAGGGCAATAAGCTTTGCCTCTGTCCTTTGCCTAAAGTGGACGTGCTTATGTATATACCTTTGTACTGGCATTTCAGGCTGAGGCAAGAATAGAAATTCAAGAACTAAAACAAAAATGTATGATGTTGGAATGCACATCACATCCTTCTGTAGTATGCGTTGATGAAATGGCGATGGAGTCAGTTAATAATCCTGAACCAGATCTTGATGAGTTGATATATCTTGTCGGAGGATACAATGGTGTATTATGGTTATCGGCGTTGGATTCCTACTCTCCTACGACGGGTGTGATAAAATCTATAAAGCCAATGAACCATGGCCGTGCTTATGTCTCTATTGCATGGTTGAATGGTGAGCTTTACGTATTTGGTGGTGGAAACGGTAGTTTGTGGGTTGACACAGGCATTAGCTTGTACTTTTTTCTCTCCGATTCACTTAAATATTTATGTCACTAACTTTGGAAATTTATTTCCATGAAGTTTAATCATATGATGCGGCCAATATCTAGTGGAATCTGCGACCTTCTTTGAATGGTGAAAAGGGAAGCTTAGCAGGTGCTACTCTAAATAACATAATTTTTGCAATGGGTGGTGCAAATGGGGTAGATTGCTATGCAGATGTTGAAATGTTTGATTTAGATGTTGGTCGCTGGATTTCTTCACGGTCAATGCTACAAAAGGTAATTCCTAAAAATATGTTGGGCTGCATAATACCAGGTTTCCTGAATTTGCTTGTAAGGCTTCTCGCTTGCCGCATATCTTGGAAGTTAAATTCATGCTTGAGCTTGTAATATTTTAAACTAAATTAATGAAGGGTATAATGGTTTATGTAGTCTTTATGTTGCTTATGATATATTCAGGTAATATAATAGTAGTTATTGATACATTTGATGGTAAGGGAACATACGGAATTTGTTTGCAGAACCAAAACATTAGAATACGGTGTTTAAGGAATATAACCTTCAATATGGCTTTCTTCATGCTAATTGTTCAGATTGTACTGTGGTCCCTTATGGGCATTAATTATTTCTAGATGTGTGCACCTTGTATTATTTTAGCCGTGCATCAGTTTTGCACTAAGGTGTAATGCTTGGAATGGTAATTTAACATGTAGGCTGCTGATATGCTTATTTTGTTTTTGTTTTTTTGCCTTTTTAGAGATTTGCTTGTGCATCGGCAGAGCTTAATGGTGCAATCTATGCCGTTGGTGGATACGATGGAAAGGAATATTTAAAGTAAGATATCAAATCCGCTTTATTTTTATTTCATGTTAAACTATATGTGACCTGTGGCTCACTCATGAATGCACTTAAAAACATGTCCATGCACTATTATTTTTAGAGGGCTTGAGTTTTGAAAATATATGGGTATGTGCACCTGTCACTTATTACAAAATTCTTATTGTTAATAACCATGCTTGCGCCTTGCTTGTAATCTAATTTTTTAATATCTTGCCACTATCAGACTTGGATTCATTGTACCTGGCTTTTAGATGAAAATCATGAACTGTTACAATTTCCCTTTGGTGAAGTAGAAAGAGTTTTTCTTGCTTATGGTTTCATCTACCTCATTTATTAAATATATGTTCGGATAGGTGGAAGTTTTTTGTGATCCCTATAGAAGGAAGACTAGAATAGTCTCTATAAATAGTTAGTTTATTCATATGCTTCTGCGGTTTCTAAATTAATTTTTGTTTTCATTTTTTAGGTTAGAAATTTCTTGGAGAGATGCAAAATATGGTCAAAGAATTAAAGAACTTAATTTTTTTTAAAAGTTTTTTCATTTTTTAATATATGTAAGCACAATTAAATTTTTTTTTATTTAATTCTTTTGTATATACTTTTGAACATTTAATTTTCATTTATGAAATATATGACGTTATTTCATTTAATATGTGGTTATGATTCAAAGTATAGCATATAGTGTGTATTACATTCTTGAAATGTGCATACAAAAATAATATTAATTATTTTTCAAATTTGTCGAACCCTCTTTTTATCACAGATTTTATTAGTTATTAATCACACTTAAAAGATGTGATCTAAATATTTTTAATCACACTTAAAAGGTGTGATTTAAATGTTATTAATCACACTTAAAAGATGTGATCTAAATATTTTTAATTACACTTAAAAGGTGTGATCCAAATGTTATTAAGCACACTTAAAAAGTGTGATTAAAAATGACCCCTTTTAGTCACACTCCCAAAAATCACATTTTAATAAAACTTAAAAGGTGTAATAAAATAACATACATCACACAAAAAAGTGTGATCTTTATCTGTTTTTGTAGTAGTGTCTGCTTCTATCCCCTATCTGATTCTCATTCTTCTTCTCTCTTTTCTCTGCTGCTTCTTTCTTTATCTCTACTTGTATGACATCACATATCTCTACCGGTTGTTATCTAAATGCTGAAATTATTTTTGTACTTGAAACATTCACAATACATTGTGATTTATGCATGCAGGTTCAAAAGAGGCTCTTAGAATTCATACTTGCTGCATTCCATCGATCTCCTAATTTTGTTGCACTTCTGAAGGTATTCTCCTGACCAAATTATGCCTAAACTTTTCGGTTGCAAGTCAATTATGTTGGAGCTTTATTGATTACATACCTTAGTATCATTGTCACCTGGTATGTCGAATATAATTCTAGATCTGGAAAATGGAAAGTAGGAGTGCATATAACGGTTACTATGTCATGTTGACTTCTATAGTCTCTTTTTGTTATTTGTTTGGTAGTCGTCTGGGTTGGAAAAGTTGTGTACAATAATAGAGAGAGATTACAATAAATTAATTTATATGAAATGATATCCATTGTCAATGATGAATTGATTAATGAAACGATTTGTAACCCTAGTTCATCATCCACCTATCAGTGATACAAGAAATGATCTTTTGTGATGGTATGTTACCTAATATTTCAATACATAATTTTGGCCAGCATAAATTAATTTGGATTTGCATAACAGGTAGCGCGCTATTGAATCTCAGATGTGAGGGTCTGGAGTTGAGTGATTATTTTGGCTTAATGAATGAACCTGCTATATGATTATTTGGGCATATTCATGTTATTTGTTCTTGTCAAATGCAGATTCACATATCAAAGAAAGGAAAGAAGAAGAAGTAGATATGACAAACTCAATGAAAGAAGGCCGCTGGAGAAATTCTCTTTTGGAACAACAATTAAAGCATTGTCTTAGGAGTTTTCGAGTTGTTTTGGGAAAAGATTGAAAGTTGGGATAGGGGGTGGGATGTAAGACTCATGTTTGGGTCCCATATTAGTGACAGGTTGTTGTAGTTGCATCTCTATTGATGGCTAATAAGAGGGAGCACCGCCAAGCACATAACTATTGGAAAAGGTGCTTCATATATATGTGTGTATTTGATGCACACTACTCTTACATGTAACTTGACATTTTTTATTTTTTTACATTATGAAATTTTGAGAACAAAATGTAGCCTTCATGTTCTTTGATTGGAAGATGACATTCAAATTACAGAAATTCTTTAGGAGGCCGAGCTGCTATTCATTTATGTATAGTATTCTGTATTCTGGTTTTGCAACAACAGTAACCCCCCCCCAAAAAAAAAAGAAAAAAAAAGAAAAGAAAAAAAGTGACGTTTTTTAAAAAACGCCACTAAATGACGTCAAACTAACGGAAGTTGAAACAGATGTCAAAGCTTTTGTGGCGTTTTAAAAAACGCAGTCTAATATTTTTAGCGACGTTTTTCAAACGCTGCAAAGCTATTGTGGCGGCCGTATCAACGACGAAAATATTAAACGTCGTTGTAACTTTTTATGACGTTTTTCAAGCTTTTAGCGGCGTAAAACGCTGCTAAAACTCCAAATTTCCTGTAGTGCTTTGGGAGTCTATCTTATTTTGTGTAAGAGTTATATATGGTTTCTATTATGAGGCAAAAATAGTTTAGATAAACTTTTAAATAAGGTAAGAAAATGAGTGGTTTTAGTTTATTCTTTTTTAATATTGACTTTCAACTTGCAATAAGTTGCACTAAACATATTCATTAAATATGTGTTTGGATCTTAAATATGTAAAAAATAAATAAATAAATAAATTTGTGAAGTAAAAAAGTGAATAAAATTTAAATTAAAATTTTCACAAATCATCTTTTTTTAATCTATGTAAATCTAAATATTTAAACGCAATAATATCTAGGCACTGTGATTGGGATAGTCCAAAACTCAATAATGACCAACGTCTTTTTTTTATTTATTTATTTTATCTTTAATACTTTTTTAAAAATTTGTGTCAATTTTATTTTTATTTTTTTAATTTTCAATTCAGTGTAAATGTAGAAAAATTTAAAAAGTAATTTTTTTCTATAAAAATCTTTAAAATATTTGGATTTTTTTTGTCTTTAATAAGCATTCGATCCTTTTGCTTCTGTTGCAAGTTTCGATAGGAGGAGTACCGCTAGGAGCCGATCTGCTATTCGGAGGAGTTCCTGTCGGCGACGATATGTGTTGTACAAAGTCGGCTTCCATCGTCCTGTCGCCGGTGTGAAAGCTTCCATCGTCCTCTCACCAGTGTGAAAGCTCACAGATTAGGAAAGTGTCTCAGACAGGTGTTGTGCAAGTTTGGAATCTCAATGTATACATACATTTATTGAAACATGTGTCCAAAACGGGCCAAATAGGGGTATTTCCATAATTTCTACAACTAGGGCTTCTTAAGTACACTACCAAAAAATATGATATACTTTTTTGCTTTTTTAGTAATTTTTTTTGACTTTTGTACAACGTTTGAGTATGCCAAACAAAGCTTAATTTTAATTTAAGCAGTAGAAATAGTGGATTCTACCATTTCTGTGTCATTTTTTAGAAGACAACAAGATAAGTGTCATATCTTGAGGTGTGGAATAATACTATAGGATCACCAACTAATTCTTTAGGAAAATGTTTGAGGGCCACAATTTTTGTGGCCACAATGGCTCAAAACTGCCAAAACGACGTCGTTTTGACATGTTTTGCACAAAAAACGACGTCGTTTTGGCAGTTTTGAGTCATTGTGGCCACAAAAATTGTGACCCTCTAGCATTGTTGAATTTTTTTATTGATTCACTGATTATCACATTTTTATATTGTATTAGGATTGTTTGGTGGAATTTATCTAAGTTGTTCATATGTTTTTTTTTAATCTTATTTTGGGAGTCTATCTTATTTTGTGTCAGAGTTATATATGGTAGGCGAAAATAGTTTAAATAAACTTTTAAAAAAAGGTAAGAAAATGAGTGGCTTTAGTTTATTCTTTTTTAATATTGACTTTCAACTTGCAATAAGTTGCACTAAACATATTCATTAAATATGTGTTTGGATCTTAAATATGTAAAAAATAAATAAATAAATAAATTTGTGAAGTAAAAAAGTGAATAAAATTTAAATTTAAATTTTCACAAATCATCTTTTTTTAATCTATGTAAATCTAAATATTTAAACGCAATAATATCTAGGCATTGTGATTGGGATAGTCCAAAACTCAATAATGACCAAAGTCTTTTTATTTTTTTTTATCTTTAATACTTTTTAAAAAATTTGTGTCAATTTTATTTTTATTTTTTTTTAAATTTTCAAGTCCGTCTAAATGTAGAAAGATTTAAAAAGTAATTTTTTTCTATAAAAATCTTTAAAATATTTGGATTTTTTTTGTCTTTAATAAGAATTTTTTAAATTATTTTTAAATTTTTTTTTTAGTCTATCTAGTCAAATAGAACTTAAATATGTAATTTTTTTTTAAAAAAATCATTAAAATTAAACAAATTTAATAATAAAAAATCACTACAAAAATGCATCTCAGACACACATAACTTAAGTAAAACTTCTTAACTTTTCAATTAAGAACACGTTACCTGAATTTAATAACTACAATATTTTAGGCTAAGTTTGACATAACACAAAAAAGTCAAAAAGTCAATATCCTATTTAAGTCACATCATCTTATTTAAATCCATCATCTCTCTATCACATCACTTCAAACCCAATCTATATTTCATAAAAAGTCAAAAAGTATACTTATTTAAATCATTCTAAATAACTTTTTAGTTAAAGTTGGTTCACATTGAGTGCATTTCTTATGCGTTACACAAACAAATGCCTCTACACAAAACCAAATTGAATTTGAATACTGAAGGAAATTTTTTAGTGGACAAAAGAAGAGAAGAGTGGAGTGTGTTGAGATAGTGACAATGGTTGATGGGTCCAAATGTGAGGAGTCACAAAGTGACAAAGGAGGATTGCGTCCCATGGAAGAGGGGTTTAGCCATTGGTTGCCACTTTGGGTCGTCCGCATGCTACACGTGTGTACAATTTTAGGCCACATGGGTTGTTAATTTTAGGCCACATGGGTTGTTAATGAGTCCTCCAAAATCAATAATTTTACATGTATAAAATTGATCAAAGAATTAATTATAAAAAATATAAATAAAATAATAATGACGTAGAGCACGAAACATTTTGTACGAAAAAGTGGTTGATCAACCGGTTAGTCAATCTTAAGTTTTTTTTTGATCTGTCAATCATAAATTCGAACGTATTTTTAAATGATTTTTTCTTTTTTTGGGATTCATAATACTTTTGCAGATAAAAAAATATGAGTGAGACAATCTCTTTAATTACGAGTTTCACTGTTTGATTTGTGTGGCTATTAATAATTTTTATGATTGATTTTATGATTAATTCTGTATTAGTGAAATTAAGTGCTTGAT